AGTTAACTGCTGGAATATTACATTGTGCCATATTTGCTTGGGATTATGTGCAAGTACCCATTATCCAAACAGTAAAAAGATAATAAAAACACAGTCTTGCATAAAGCAACATAAGCCACAAAAAATCCTGCTGGAAAGGTGTTTGAGTCACCATCCCTGAATGTGTTTAAAAACCCTTTGGATGTGGTGCTCAGGGACATGATTTAGTGTAGGGTTGTTAGACTTAGGGCAGTATGGTTAGGTTGTGGTTGGATGTGATGATCTTGAAGGTCTTTTCCAACTTGAGCAATTTTCTGCTTCTATCATTCTATGAAATCAAGAAAAAGACATACTGATTTTAATAAATATTGAATCTGACTAGCAGAAAAGCACTCAGTCCATGAGCAACAGCCCATCTCCCCTCAGAAGTGCTCCCCAGTCCAGGGAGCTCAAGGCAACAGCTAAAGATTTCCTAATGCCAGGGGTAGCTTTCCTTGCAAATATAACAGTAAAAGACCACATACTCCCCCAGTAGTACGAGATTGTGGGAGATAAGAGAGCAGTTCCTTTCTCCTGGCAAGGGTTAGGTAATCTCTGACATCTTTTAAATTTCATAATTAGGCCTACAGAGTAAAAGAAAAAACACCATTAAAATCATCTTGGAATAGATAAGGCTTGATTCAGGAATACAATTTAAATTTCACTGTGAAGAACTGCTGTGGTTTCCCAGATTTTCTATAGTATTGAGCATCAAACCGATCTCACCTACCTCAGGGTCCTTTCCTGGTGGCACTGGTATGCCAGCACTCCATTACAGCCTTTTGTGCGTTTGTAGAGCTAACATATTGATAGATTCCTTCAATCAACAGGCTGTACCCCCAAGGCAGGAGCTGTGGGCTCACATTCCCTGCCCTTGGCATTTGCTGGGCTGGAGGGAGCTGTGCTGGATGGAGCTGTGTTGAACATCCATGTTGTCCTTGAAGGAAATGAGCTGCAATGTTAAGAAATGCTTTGATGGCCTCAAGGATCATACAGGATAGCAGGATGTCCCTCATAATGGAGGTGCTCCAGGCACCTTAATCATCTTTGTGGTCCTGTGATGAACTCTCTCCAGCAGTTCTCTGTCTTTCTCAAACTGTGGAACCCAAAACTGGAATCCAGTACTCCAGATGTGACCTCACTTAGATAAGAGATACACTGTCCAGTAGTATTACGGAAATGTTTTGAGAATAACACATTCCTCAAACCATGGCAAGCCACATGTGCTGGCAATTCCATGAAACTTGAAGCTGCCTTTCTGAGCACAGTGCTACTTGGCAAACTCTGCCACAGTCCAAACCAGGTACCAAGCTTGGAAGTCTTATCTGGGTCAAAGATTTGCCAGAGAAAGAAGTTTTTCCAGTGTATTGGTTTACCAGGATAAAGTTATTTATCTGTGCATCTGTCACCATTAAGACTGGCATTAGCAAGACTCTGTACACATAGAAGCATTTGTCTTTGTTCAGTATTGACATTATCTATATCCTTTTCCTCTGATGAAAGGATGTATTTCTCTGTAGGATATTCTCATTTGAAAATACTTAAATTTGTGTGTCTCTTGTACTGTCAAAATTCAAGTTTGTGATGCTTCAAGCCATGATGAAATATTTTTATGTTTTTCTCCTTCTCCATTGGTGCTTCTGGTTGTAAATGTCTGACCTTGCTATTTCTTGCTTTTTATTTGGACATATTTTAGATTGAGTTGCTGTTGTAAGTGGTGTATTTGATTTCTACACATCTTGAGAAACCACTGGGATATTATATCTAGAATCTCTTCAGAGACTGAAGACAGAAGTCTCGTAGTCATATGTAGAAAGTTTCAGAAAATCCACATGCAAAATGTATTAATTAAAAGCATTTGATGAACGTCTATGAACAACAAATGCGTTCAAAGAAAATCATATCCACTTAGATTCTGGGTTAAGTTCCCAGCTGGCTTCACTGTAGCTTCCGTGACTTCTGCTGGATATGGATCTGGCTCATTTTTTGTAATGAGAACTTCAAGTAGCTCTAGCTAAAATGAATGACAAAGCTTATGCTTCTTGGTGAAGTAATTCATTAATTAGTGTGTATATATGCACATTACCACACATATAATTTCTGAAAATATGAAGAACTTTGTCCCTGTATAAAGCCCTCTAGAGTCATTGCAAAAATTTGCATGGACTTCATTGGGTTATGGATCACATCCTGTATATATCTGCATTTGTAGACCTTTTCTAGTGCTTTCTCTTCCAATGGGAATTAATAGCTTCTTGGAATTGAAATGACCAGTTTCCGATTTAGTTTTGCATAAGAAGCACAGTCCAGTAGGATTAAATATGAATGGTGGCTTGGTAATTCATTAATCATGAAAATATGATGTGCAGTTAGTTATATAAGTGGTTATTTTTGCATGGAGATGTCTGCTACTTTTATGTCTGTGCAGAATCACTTCAAGTGCAGAAGCAGGAACATACAAACCCATTCATTTCAATATACTATTTTAGTCAGAATGCACAATGATACATAAATGTTCTGTAGACAATAGTGATTTTGTAGTTGTTAGCACAATGATAGGTCAGTGCATCCAAGTATCCCACCTGCACATGATTATACGCGTTCCTGGTCAGATGAAGCAGAGTATTTTCAAAATTTCTATGAGACCTTTCCAAACCATCTCGGCCACATGTGACCTATGCAAAATATTTTATTCTGAGAACTTTTGAAAATGTAAATATTACAGCTCCTTTTCTCTTAAAAGTTTGAGAAATCAGATAAGAAAGGCCGGGCTGGCTCCAAACAATACTGAATTCTTCTCTATCATCCAGCAATAGACTTCTGGGTCAGTGACAGGTAACAAGGACAAGGTTTGATACGCCATTTGAAAATGGTGCACAGCAAGGAGCAAATCAACATAAGATGCAAGTCAAAGGACTGTTGAAATACTCACTTTCCATTTGAGCATGCTGTTGGAAGCTGAAATTCTGCACTGAACTTAGTAATTCAATATGCTTGGCAAATACAAGAGGTTGCCTCATTGGCACAGATCTCTTCTGTGTAAAAATGATGGAAATGCCAATTCCACCTTTGTCTCCTTCCAGTGTCCTTGCGTCACTAGCACTCTGTTGTCTTTCCCAGGTAAAAGGATAGTCCCAGGCTCAATTCACTGTACTTCCGCTGTCATGGCCAGGGCCCTGCCAGGTACTTGCTCTTGTTTTTAAAAAAAAGAAGAAAAAAAAAAAAAAAAAAAAAAAAGCCTCATGAATGCTCTGTTTTCTTGTCATCACTTTTACTTTCTTGAAATGCATTAGCACGCGATTTTTCATTTCAAGACAAGAGGTAGAGGCACAGAAGTTTCAGGATCTGGCTCCCATTGAACTCTCTGAGAAAGTTGTTTCTGAAAAAGAGTGCCTATATGGGAAATCGGTATAGCCATGATTTTTTTTTTTTTTTTTAGAAGTTAACACAAAAACAGATAGAAAGGAAATATTTAAAATTACTGTATCCATTACAAAAGTGCATAAAGGTATTTGTGGCTGTAAAGTCCTTGTGAACATTTTTCATTAAAACTTACAAATATTTCGAACTAGAGAGATGAATTACCAAATACTTGTGCCTTTCATCTTATCTGTGTTTTGTTCAGCAGATCACAAAACACAGACCTACATTATATATCTCCTTGAAGAGCCAAACAGCAGCAAGAGAATGAGCGAAAGCTGCACATAACAGGTGGAGAAACAGGAGAATGGAAAGATGAAGGGAATCAAGTACAAGGTCTCATGATTACTTAATTGCTATGCCCACATCTTGTTCCATAATGCATACAAGATTTCAGCCACCCAATCTACTGAAATCTCTCTCAGGACATGTCAGACTTTAACTAAGCATCCTCCTCTCATCCTGCTGGGTTATCCATTCCCTTTGGCTTTTTGCCATCTTCTGTTATGCATTATCCCATCAATTTTGGTCCTCACATTACATATGAGACTTTACATACTACTGTCTTACTGCTGCTTATGTCAATTATACTTAACACAAGGAGATTCCCAAGCTTCCCAGCTGTTCTCATCCCCCATCTTAACTGTACTACCTATGGTATTTGGCAATGTTCTGTCAGCCAACCCTCTTGGCCATTCAACTCTGCTAACTCAATGTAGCATGCAAGGAACATTGTAAGAGGAAGAAAGGCAGCTTTAGCATCTAAGAGCACCCAAGTAAACCTAAAGACTGAAATGATCCATCCCAAAGGGAACCTTATCATTATTACTGGTCCAAAACCATGCTATCCTGTGATAGAAAGAAGATCTTTGGTAAGTTATTCTGTCTCCTCCTCCGACGCCAATCTACTGCTAGAGGAGGGTAAATTTTCAAAGCTGCTGTACCAAAAGAACTCTCTTAGCATTCAGAAGAAGCTGTGGTAGTGTCTCTCACATCTCTGCAGTGAGAAAGAGTGGGCTTATGTGGTATTCCATTCCTACCTACTAGGATAACATTAGGACCAAATATTTAAATATACCATTTCTGTTCCCAGGCTGTGGAGCCAAAAATGGTGTGATCAAAGCAGATTCCTTGCACTCCACACACTGTTTCATGTGGTTTTTCTTGCACTGGGACATCCTGCAGGGCTCAGACACACAAGACTCTTTCCCAGGTGGAAGCCCAATGGCTGAACAGGGAGATCCTGCTCACCCACCGTCCTCTGCATCTCATGAGCATTCTACCACGGTGAGGGGCCCATAACAACTTCTCTCTCTTCCCCGGGGGGCACCAAACGAGTATCCCTCATCTCGCACTGAGAGGCAGCTGCTCGGAGGCAGGGATGATTGACGAGAACTCGGGGCCCCAACCGTCGGCGGGAGACTCCGGCTACCCCCGCCCAGGGCGGGAGGCCGCGCCGAGGCCCGCGGAGAGGGAGGGGATCGCCGGGAGGGAGTGGCCGTGCCGGGCCAGCCCCATAAAAAGCCCTCGGCGGGGCGGCGGCGGGAGGAGCCCTCGGAGTCGTCGCCGCCGCAGCCGCCGCCGTCGCAGCCGTCGCTCCGGCCGCGGGCACAGTCAGCACCGCGGACAGCGCCCCCACTGAGCCCCTCCGCACCCCCATCATGACGGCGGAGACGCACCTGCAGGGCGTGGAGATCTCGGCCGCCCAGTTCTTCGAGATCTGGCACCACTACGACTCCGACGGTGACTCCTTTCCCCTTCTCGGGTTGGCGGGGGGCGGCTGGCGGGGGGTGTGCGAGGGGGAGGCTGGGGGTCCCACCACTCCCTGGCCGCCATCCCGCAGCCGGCACGACCGCACGGCTGGGATTGAGGTCGGGTGAGGAGTGCGGGAGCAGCTCCGCCGGGAGAACACGGGTTAGAGACATCCCCGGCAGCGCTGAAGAGAGGAGTTTGGAGGGAGCGGTGACCACGAGTGTAACTCTTTTCGTTGTAGGCAATGGGTACATGGATGGGAAGGAGCTACAAAACTTCATCCAGGAGCTGCAGCAGGCACGGAAGAAGGCAGGCTTGGTAGGTTAACCTTTTGCCCCACTTTTTCCATCTCCTCTGGGAAAGAAGAGTTTTCTTGAGCAAACTCCAGTGCCTTGGTTCCTTCTGTTCCTTGTTGCTTTCACACGGTTCATGCAGTAGCCTCACGAGGCAGAGAAGTAGGTGGGTTAGAAATAAGCAGGTTTTAAATGAAACATGCCCTCTGATTTGGAAAGGTGGTGTCAGGGGTGTCCATTCAGCTGGAGAGCAGGTCTTGTTCACATCTCACCAGTCTGTGAGCTAGTACTTCTCAAAGGGCTTAACAAGAAAAGTCAGAAATGCATGGACATTATCCTTTTGTCATGGACATTATCCTTTTGTCATGGGTGGACTTTGTCCTAGTGCAACCTGATCCAGATATGCACTGATACTTAAAAAAAATAATAAATTTCTTTTAAAAAACAGAGAGAAAATAGAAAAGAAAACCCAACTCTTCAAGTTAGTTGGGCTCTTTTAATTTCATGCTTAATGGGCAGTATGGGCTGAAATGCATTCCTGCCCCTTGGTGGTCAGTAAATAGATCTGCAGATGACTGCTAAACACTTTTTACCCTTTACCAGTGTTGCACACCAGGAATATGAGTACCAAATCCTGGTAGTTCAGATTGCTAACAGAGACAGCAACATTTTTGACACTGTTGTCAAAACAATTCTAGCATGAGCTATTAATTTTTTAATGACAAATTTCCTCCAAACTATACCCATTTGGGAAAAAAAAAAAAAAGAGTGCAGAGAGAAGGAGAGAGGGAGAAAGAGACAGAAATGATTCCATGAAAAGATCTGAATTTAAATAGAAGTGAATCTTTTTAACAAATAAATTATGGGTTATTGGTTTCTAAAACAGGCTACTTAGCACCAAGTTCAAATATATAACATTACCAAGTCTACGCAAGTCAATCTATGCTAAAATACTTTCAAAGTAACAGAAGGAAAAAAATTAGCCAATTAGCATGTGTGCTTCATGGAAATAAATTATTACTTAATATTAAAAAACAAAACAGCAACAACAACAAAAAAACTCTGAGCAATAACCTTTCAATAACTTACTTTAATATTGCTGGAGGTTTTAGAAGCAAATGAAAAAAAAAGAAAAAAAAACTAACAATCATACTCTTAAATTTTGTGGAAAATCTTCTTGTGGTTATCTTCTTAGTAATTCTATGAGTGCAGACTTCACACACTTGAAAATCTGTCTCACAGCAGTGCCTCATTTTTACAGTCTTAGTATCAGTTAATTCTTACAGCAATTGCTGTAGACACTCATTTTCATGAGTGTTAATAAGAACAAACTAAAATTTCAAAAACCCTCAAAAACCCATACAGAAAATTGGTTTTCAGAGGAAATAGGTGTTTTTTTTTCTTCTTCTTTTTTTTGCACAGAAAAACTGAGTACAACTTCTGTGCCTTTCAGATATTACAATAGAAAATATCTCTTCTCTGTAGAGAAGTGAAGGAAACATGTTTGTTTGTTAGAAAGAAGATACTAAAGCCTGTTTATATTCAGTATCGATGGCATTGTCAGTAGAAATGCTGACGATATTTAGGAATTTGAAAAATGAATTAGAAGCTTGAAGGAAAAACACTAGTTACTTTAAAATCAGAATCTTTTCTCTCTCAGAAGAAGTGTGCATCTCTTAAAAACAGAGCTTGCTCAAAGTAACACAGAAGAACTTTGCAGAACTGTTCTTATCTGCTACATTTCATCATTCATTCTGTTTCTTGAGAAACCTCTCCCTGTATCTCACGTTCTGTTTTGAAAATACTCAGGAGCTTAATTAAGCTTTCTTCTGCCATTTCTCTGGTTTTGGGGTGTTCTTTTGAGAAGAGCAATTCACGGTAGCAACATCAAATTTGGTGCATGGTTTATTGGTTCTGCCTTTGGTAGATGTTACCTTGACCTCTGAATTTTTTTTCTGGATTATGGGTGTATGTCATTTTAGGTTTCAAATCTAAGCTGGTTTGCCAAACAAGCATCTCATTAGTTAATCTCTTGTCTCATGGGATACTAATTCAGTAGCTTTAAATTTCTTTTCTTTTGCCAGAAGGGACACATTGAGAAACTAGTGTAAGTTATATGTCATTTCCTTGTCTGTCCTTCCCTTAACACGCCAAAGCTTCTTTGTCATCATTAACTTCTGTATTTCAAGTCACTTTCCTGCTCACTATTTTTGAAATATTCAATTATGCATTCTTCATAGCTGGATTTTACATCAGTCATGCCACATGCATTAAAGAATCACATTGATTCTGTCATTGAATAGGATGGTTTAACATTTCCAAGTATTATTCCCAGCTACAAAGAGCTGTTCTAATTATGTTCTAATTCTAATATTTTTATTAATCCACACAGTAAGCCTGTACTACTTTCACAGCTGCTTTTCCTAAGATGGAGCAATAGCATGCAACTTGATTGCTGTTAGCCCCATTGCTGGAACTGTCAGTGCTCCAAAGAATAGATGTGTACTGGGTTTAAGGGCTTGGGCTTTTCTCTGGTCACACCATGTGTTTTCACTTCATGCATTGAGGTAGACAGTGATTTGATCTGGCATACTTTCAGACATTATGAAAGGACTGACACTTTTTTAAAGATAAAAACTGTATAAATACATAGACAGAGCTTCCATTTGCTGTACCCTACTTTTTATGCAATGCATTCTCTAAGTGTGCCAGTTACGAGAAGAACCTGTGAAGTGTAAATGAGTGACACAGAGTCAATAGAGGGTTGACAGTAGGTCTTGGAAAGTTACTCCACATCTGTTAATTCACTTTCTCTGCATATACAGGTGAGGACAGTATTTCTCAATATTCCAATATTAATTCCAATATTTAATAGATGTTTATGAATGCAGTCATGTAAGTGCTTCTGTAGTGCCATCTATCCTTACATTTCAAAAATCATCCCAAAACAGAGCTGTTTTTTCTACAGCTCCTCTTGGTGGGCTACGTGACTCTTAAGCTTTAGGAGGGGAGATGAAGGTGCAAAGTTTCTTAATTTCAAGCATTAAGCAACTCCACTTGATTAAGTTTAAACAATTTTTTTGACTGAACACGTATTTGAATAATGTGACTTGCAAGATTTGTCAGCTACCTCAAAAGCAGCTGAAGTGAGCACCAAGAAAAAGAAAAAAGACTCTTTCTGGACTGTGTACTAGGATGAGCATCCTGTTTCATTTCGCCTCTAAGCTAAACACTGCTTTAATGGCTTAACACTGTTTGGCACTGTGGAGGTGATACTAGAAGAATTAGCAAAATATTTAACAAGGACTAACTAAAATCCAGGTGTCTAAATTCTCCATTCCAACTGCTAAACAAATTTGTGCCCACTTTGGGATCATTAGATGAGAGGTGACATTGAACTGCATTGTATTAATAACTACATCTCTAATTAAAGCTGTGGCAAATTACTAACCTGCCATGGATGACTTTGACATAAATAGGATACTAGGCCACGATTGTATCATCTATAAAGAACTGACATTTAAGTTAGCATTTGAAGTTGAAATTTGGGACAAACTTCAACAGACTTTGTACAGCTGATAGCTCCTGTGTCTCCAGTGAGAAATTCACTTAGGTCCTATATAATCAGAACTATTATAGCAACTAAAACTTTAATTTCTAATGACAGCTATATCTTCATCTATAAGCATAGAATTTTCCATTATTTTAATATAGCTGTAGTCCTGATTCTTGCTGCATGGTTTTACTAGCTCGGTCTGATAAGAAATACAAAGGAAAATAGAAGTTTAATCAGTGATGAAAGTTGATGGCAGCTCATAGCAAGGAAAGCAAGTCCAGTTGAAGTGTCAAATCAGGTGAGTAAATATTCATCTGAGGCTGGCACCTTTGCTGTAGCTTAGGCTGAAGATAGTATTTGAGTACAAATGTATAGTAGGAGACATAATTTATACAATAAACAATTATGCTGGCTTTATTATGTCAGATTTAAGATGCTGCTCAAAGCTGTCTCTCTCCCAAGCCTTCTCTCTCTAAATTACGGCAGTGACATTTGGATTCTGTTTTCATGATAACTAAATACTAAACAGTGAGGAATAAGATATTCTGATTAGTTCTTTTAGGGCTAAAATAGCATCCATTGTTCAAGTAAAATCAACTCAAAGATGTGGAAAGGCCATATTGATATTCAGAGGTATTGTACTGAAATACTCCTTATTTTGAAGGATTTTGCACTGCCTTCAAGTTTGTCATTTAATAATGAAAACTGAGAATATGAATTAATAATTACCCATGAACTTCACTGTCATTCTCTCAAACAAAAGAGCTGTTATACATATCTTCCAACACATCTGTCTTCTCAATTTCTTTATTCTGTAAACTAAAATAGGAGTTCTAAGTATTTAGAAACCAATCATTCACGTTGACTATAATATCACCCCTTAGGAAGTAAAATTTATCACAATTATAGGTTATCTATCCTAAAAAAATTACTCAATTTCACTTCAACTTGAGAAATCTAGCTATAGTTAAGTGTGAATATTTCATCAAATGTAGTAAATTTATTGACAAGTAATGGAATATTTAAGTCCTTTGCATACATTTCTCTGCGTCTGAAAAATATTGATTCTCTCATTGTAACTTTACAGGACTTAACACCTGAAATGAAAGCTTTTGTGGACCAGTATGGCAAAGCTACTGATGGAAAAATAGGAATTGTTGAGGTAAGATAGTTACCCTATCACAAATGACTAACACATTTACTGATAGAAAATACACTTAGCACAGAACAGTATGGGCATATTTGTAAATAGTTTGGATTTTTAGTAAAACAGAAGATTTCTTTCTCTGTGAATCTTTAGTGTTTTTTTTTCACTGATGATTTTTTTTCCTTACCCAAAAGCAAAATATTCTTTATCCTTTGCCAGATATTTCACTACACTTCATTTAACTTTGCACATTTGATTCAGTACAAATAAGCATCAACAGCAATGCAGTTTTCCTGTAAAGCAGCTAAAAGCTCTATTTTAGAAATTGTGAAAGGTAAATATGATTTATCTCTACATATGATTTTGAACTAACACTCTGTCACCGCTCCTGTAGTTAGGTAACTTGCAAGTGAATATAATTGAGCAGTCACTATAGGTAGTCAATGCACATATGTGGCAAAATAGGATGTTAATCATGGCAAACTTAAACAAAATTTTAAGAGTAGTTGTAATCCAGCCCTTTCTTTAACCAAACCCGAGGTGGAATATTTCCATTCCTTTCTACCGCTTTCTAAAGAGGATAAAGATGCAGTCAGCCAACCTTTTCTACACTTGCAGACTCTCAACAATTGTATAATTTAGACAACTTTCTGGGAAGTAGGGAACCATTGTATTTTCTCATGCTTTCATTGTTCAGTGCTGCAAATCAGAAAGGAAAGTTCATTGGGTTACAGCTTGAGAAACCACTATTTCAAGCCTAAATCTACAACTCATTTATGTCACACTGAGTGCAGTAAAGACTGCAGTTTTATTATTAAATGTGATTATTATTTTTTTCTGATAGAATGAAATATGATCTAAGAGAGCTAATTAAGAAACAGCTGGAAGGAAGCCAGGTCTGCAAAATTTCTACTGTGACCAACCTTGGGTCAGTAGCTATTTTTAAAATAGAAGACTGATTAGAGTCTGTAAAACTCAGTAGGATGTATCACTAGTGATATAATACATCATTTCAGGACATCTTTCCTCCTCGGTCATGTGTCTGAATTGAAAATACTTGTGTATATGAAAACCTAGCTATGACTAAATTATGGAAACACAGTTCCTTTTACTTGCGGCTATAAGTGATTTTAAAAATGCATCTTTTGACAATACTTAGCATTACAAATTATTTTTGTGCTAACAACTGCTTATTCATTTATTATTGAATAATCCCATTTAATTCAGTACTTTTGAATTGTGTAATAGCAAGCATTATGCAAGAAGAATAAGTAGACAGTGCCTGCAGTGACTGTTGTTCTTTACTTAGGGAAGATAACTGAGAGTTTTGCCTTTCAAGTTCTATTTCTGATTGTACTATTGACTTAATGTGTAAAGGTGAGCAAATCCCACAGGGCCTAATACGGTAAGGTGCTTACCACCTCCAGTGAGCTGCCAAGCACACTCAGCATCCACTGAAGCCACTGAATAATGACAGCACTCAGTCCAGTGACTGAAGGGACTCTCTCCCTTAATATAGCACTTTCCTAACCCAATATCTATATTTTATTTCACTGACATCAGCATGAAGCTTGATTTGGAAAGTGCTGATGGGACTCAGCCTAAGTTTTACAAGCAGTATGATGTTAAAGTTGCTATTTGGACTTGATTTTCCCTCCTTATAAATAAGAATGCCCAGTAATTCCAGATTGCTCCCAATTTACATAATACACTTTTTTTCTGAAATAAAGAAATGTGAATGTTGTTAAAAAAAATTTATATGTAAACGCATTTGGATTCCCAGCCATCACACTGGATACCCCAGCAGCTGAAGGAAAATGTCTTTCACATAATGAGTTTTGTGGGCTGAGATAGAGGAGACCTGGGTGGCTTCATAAAGGAAGGAGTGGATTTTTAGTTTAGTGCTCAGATTAAATGTCAGCTTTGTCTTTGGAAGCACACTGCACTTAGTCCTCTAGGTCTCAGCCAGCATTCACAAGCTAAATGCAGAGCCAGATCTCTATACTTGCTTATCATTTTGTAAGAGACCTTTCTTTCACTTTTTGTGTTCATTCAGGCCAATACTTGAACTAAGATGTAGATGTGGAATGTGGATTTTTGAGACTCAGGACAGTAGTAATTCCACATTCACATCCTTTGACACTTGCTTCTGCCATAAAAATAACTACTTACTACTATAAAATATTATTTTTACTCCCATTCTCCACTATAGGTTTTTGAGAAGAAAATTCGCTGAATTATACAAAAGGAATTTAATTACCAACATTTATTTAAAGAATGATTTCTAGAAATAGTTATTATATTGTCTTAATAACTGAGAGTATTTTTTTCTGCTAGGTAACCTATAAAGATCTTCCTCAGCCTGCAGATGAGTAGAGAGAGTTAAGTCAAGCTTGGGGTTTGTTGCTGTTGTCCTTTCTTACTCATGAAAGCAGTGGGGTGCACAGAAGAACTAAGTTGCTATTGCTGCCACGGGTGGGAACCAGAAGCATCCAGACATGCTCACAGGGTCCCAGTGTGTCCTTCCTCACCAAGAAGCCAAGCAGCAGATTCCCATCTTTCCTCTCTCTAGCAGTGACTAAGAAGTTCCCTATCCCTTAATAGTGCAGAGTTCCCAACAAGAAGCAGTTTAATGCTGTTGATGCAAAAGCTAGGAGAACTGGATTTCTCTTTAGTTGTATTGTTTGCATTATGCTAGAGGGCAGTAAAGAAGGAAGCCAGGAAAGACTTGTGACGGGAGTCCGAGCTAATATTGGATATTGAGCTCAATAGCAGTAGTGTAGTGTAAAAGCCTGTGCTTTTCTCTGTGTGTGACCTACAAAGGGCAGGAGGTGCAGTTTAAAATGTGGCAATTTTCTTCCAAAGGTAATATATTCTGTGTCTCAAACCCAGTTTGGTACTGCTAGTAAGCTGTTCATGATTCTTTGGAAAGGTCCCATTGTCATAAGCAGTCTCTTCCCCAAACTGTGTGTTTTTATCAGTTCTTCCATTCAGTGTTTGCTGTTGAGAAGCACTGCTGATTCTCCAAAAGTCAGAGCCTCCTCTCATGGGAGAAATAAGGAAAATTTTCCATAAATCAGTACTAAATTCCACACACTTAGCTGCTACACCTATATGAATGCATACTTACCCATACATTATTTTCTATTTATAATGGAGTTGATTCCAAAAGCTGCTGACAAAAACACATTGTTTAAGTTGATTAGGTTTGCAATTCAGCCATTTAGCAAAAGCACTCAAAACACTGATGCACTTGGCAGTCTGTAATCAGTGGCTCTGTTCTGTAAGAAGAGTACTTTGACTTATTTTTCAGTTGTACAAGCACTTGATGAATATGACTGACTTCTTGAGAAGATAATTTTAGAGAAACTAGAGATTTGTTTCCAGCCCCTTGTTGTGCCTATAGAGTGAGAGGGAGAGCTGAGGTCACCTACAGCACTATGGGAACCCCCCAAAAAACCTGAGCAGTTGGGTGATAGCACTAAATAAGGCAATAGCAAAAACAAGAAATGTGAGCATGTGAAATGAATGCACAGAAACAAAAATGTGAATACAAATTTTAAGATGGGGATACAGGAAGTCTGCAGATGTCATTTTTCATAAATAATGCAGCTAAGATATCTTGCTTTCCCTGTTTTCTTTTCCTAGTAAGCACAGCTGGCCTATTCTTCAAGTTAAAAGTTTTCTCTAATCAAAAAATATTTCATACATTTTAAGCACAGAAAAAGAAATATTGGGCTTTTGTTAAAAACAAATCATGATTTTACTTTAAATTATATAGCACACTCTCCATCTTCTACATTTGTCACTTGTCAAAATTGAGTTATAGTAAATGAACATTTTCAAAAATCAGTACAATAATGTCTGATTTTAAAAAAGTATTTTGTAACACAGACATTGGGGAAAAAAAAACACCCTTGATTCTGTGGGGCTAAAAGTAGTTTTGATTTCCTTCTGATATTTATAGCTCTTCTTGAACAGATTTCTGTATCTGACAAATGACAACTAGTTGCCATTTCCTTGCCCTTCCAACTTTCACATACTCTTTTTTTTTTTCTGGTTTATTTTTCTGCTTTCCTTACACACGTGTTCCTGCCTCTTCTTCCTTACATTCAGTATCTATTAGTGATTTTTCTTCCTCACTTTCTTAATTTCCTTCAAACTCATCCATTAAACATCTTTGTTTCATGCTTTCCCTTTCACACTGATTCTGAGGTTTTCACCACAGATCCTGACTTTGAATAGGTCATTTTTTTCCTTTTTCCTTCAGTAAACTGCTGTTTCACTGCCTTATCTCAGACCTCACTTCTGTTTGACTTGGATGAATATGAAAAAGCTACAAGCCAGAAGCCTTTCAGAGGCATCATCCTGATGTTTGGGCTTATGGGATGAAGGTTCTTGTGAGGCTACACTAGGACAGTAGGACTACAAAGAATTTCACGTGCCTTTAAAAGTGTCATACTCATTCAAAAGCTCATTTGGCCTAACAGAAAATCAGAATTTAATTTAATTTTTTAAAATCTGTCACAGCTTGCTCAGGTGTTGCCGACGGAGGAGAATTTCCTGTTGTTCTTTAGGTGCCAGCAGCTAAAGTCAAGTGAAGACTTCATGCAGGTAAAGTGTGAAAATTTTCCTTCTGTAAAATCATCCAAGACCTGATTGCCATAAATTCATTATCAAATCATCTGATTACAGACATGGAGAAAATATGACAGTGACCACAGTGGCTTCATTGATTCTGAGGAACTTAAGGTAAGCTGATACTAATGAGTGTGCACAAAATGAGATTCAAGATTGGATTATGGACATTGGATCTGTCTATTCATACTCATTGGTGCATATTTTTGCATTTCAGACATGACTGAAAGCAATATGATTAGATGGTGTTTTTATCACCAGTAAATCATTTAAAGTGCATCTCTAATCTGATAAATGTTTCTAAAAATGTGGTTTAATTCAGATGAATATTTGTCTCAAGTGACTTGAGATGGCTGATGCTCTCGCTGAGAAGTAGGAAAGATTATTTCTGCCCTGGGAAACCAGACAGTCCTGTGTAAGACACACTGTTCTTCTCAGAGGCTGTTTAGGGTAGAGGCTGGTTTGTGATGTTTGTTTTGGGTGTGTGTTTTTTTTTCTCCTATGGGCATAATTACTATTAATCATTATGCTACTGGGCAGCTTGTGCTCTCTCAAGTATCATAAAACTTGTTCAGTTTCCACTATGCCACTGTTAACACAGCTGGAATTATCTTGCCCATGTTCAGCTAACTTGGTGGGAGTTAGCTATCAGTTTTAAAATGCATAAAAAGGGCAGAATCATTCCATTAATCATCTCAGTCTTAGAGAATTAAAAAAACTTGAAACTAGAATGATTTACTCTTGTCATAAAACTAACATAAATTTGTAGATGCTGAATCACAGTTGCAGGATCACAGAGTGGCTGAAGCTGGGTCCATCTGGCCCACCCATGCTCCAGCAGGGACACCCAGAGCAGGGGGCCCAAGCCCAAGGCCAAGTGGCTTCTGAAGGTCTCCAGGGAGGATTACCCACAGCCTCTGGGCAACCTATGCCAGTGCTCCAGCAATGCACAGCACAGAAGTTCTACCTGCTGCCCAGAGGGACCTCCTGTGCTCCAATTTGTGCCCATTGCCTCTTGTCCTCTCTGCACCCTTCCTTCACATATTTATAGACACTGATGAAATTCCCCTGTGCCTCCTCTTCTTCAGGCTGAATAATTTGAGCTCTCTCAGCCTTTCCTCATAGGAGAGCTGCCATATACAGCAGACTGAGTAGAAAGGAGCCTTTTTCCATTCATAGCAAGAGACTTAGCAGTGTTTATCCATCTAGTTTAGACTATTTTTTTCAATTTATTCCTTTTCCCTTCTTTGAGTTTTGTATGTATATGACACTTGCCAAGGAATCCTCCTCAAGGTAGCCTGCAGGCAGACAAGCCCATTCTTCTGCTGCCTGCTCACGGCACATTGGTGTATCAGAAGTTGTTGCAAGCAGGAGGAGGGCAAACACACAGCTCTTGATAACTGTCCAGTTGTTAGACAGTTCTTTACAGACTGTTGGCAGCTTCTATAATTTAAAATAGACTTTAAACTGGCAGGGCTGACTTAGGAATAGTTGAAGAGCTAGGAAATTTTAACTGGACCCCTAATGGTCCTATCTCTCATGTGCTATGAGAAATAAGTCTCTGAAAATAAGACATATCAGGCTGGAAATCAGGAAATACTACTTCTCTGAAAGGGTGGTCAGGCACTGGAATGGGCTACCCAGGGAGGTGGTGGAGTCCCCTTCCCTGGAGGTGTTCAAGGAACATTTGGATGTTGTGTTGAGGGATATGGTTTAGCGAGAACCATTGGTGATAGGTGGATGGTTGGACTGGATGATCTTATAGGTCTTTTCCAACCTTAGTGATTCTGTGATTCTGTGATAAATGTGAAATTTTAGTTTTAGGAATAATTGATATTTTTTGCCATGCCCAAACATTTTAAATATTTGCTGTGTAAGGAGTTCACCTACTTAATTACTTTCAAAGAGCAATTTAGGTTGGAAATGAGCAAAACTTTCCATCAACAAAACTGGCAGTAGAATATGTTGTCTCAGGAGGAGTCATCATCACTGCATATTTGGAAATGGTTTAGCAACAGCTCAGATCAGACAATGACATGGAAAGTTTAAGTGTAGATGATCTTTTCGCAAGACATTCCGATGGACAGGTTAGCCCTATTTTCCATGAAAGCACATAAGATTAAACATATTTCTGTAGTAATGTCCATGTACAAAATTTCAGCTGTACTCTTTGTAACAATCATGTAACAGAAATTTCAACCTCTGCATGGGTAGAATCGATTTTTTTTTTTTTTTTTTTTTTAAAGTAAAAATGGCTGTCATTCACAATATTTGATTAGAAAGCCACAGGATGCTGCATCCAATTCTCATTAAATAAATAAATAAATAAACTAGTGGAATTGGCCGCTGATTTAAAGTATGAGGTGAGAGGGAGTGACATAGGTTAACATGTTCACTTCTAGCATCCATTACTGCCGTAGGCAAGGAGGAAAATGATTAATAATTGATCTTTTCTGTAAAATTGTTCCTATGTTGGCACCCAAGTTTTCCAAGGAGTCTCAAGGTTAGTTGGTTTAATTTACTGATAGAACTGATTAGGAAGAAGTATGCTTGAGAGTCAAGTCATTTCTTCCAAATTCACATTACAACAAATGTCATACAACGTATAATGTTTTATGAAATTGTGTAGTATAGTTGAAATGATCATAAAGAAACTGTTACAGACCTAACTGTTAATTGCTATGCCTTTTCTTACTTATTTTGAACTGCAACAATAAAAATTAAATTGGAAGTAGTATTTCCCATTACTTTAATTTGAAGTTAGCAAGTCAAGCATTTTATACTATAGATAAAAATTCATCTGTTACACTCTCTTTATTTTAACAGAGTTTCTTGAAAGATTTATTACAGAAAGCAAATAAGCAGATTGAAGACTCAAAGCTAACAGAATATACAGAAATAATGGTAAGAATCTATAAAGGCATATTTTGTCAAGACTGTGTTTATCTTCAGCTGCTAGAAGGTTCCAAATTGCTTGGGCCCCGCTAAATCATAATCAGGACTAATGAGGCTGCTGTGTCATTGCAGCACAGAGATGACATCAAGCACTGCAAGTACACCTGTAGCTGTGTAGTTTTCAGTGCTGCTACAAAAATGCTCAGGAATTTTGAACCTTCTTGGTCCTTATTACACAGCAGATCCTGTCACGGTGTGGTGCAAAGAATGTTCTCCTGTTCTACTTCTCCATTCCGTTAGGGGTAAAACCAAAGTCTTGAGAGTTCATAGGAGAAAAACTGTGCTTGTCATAAGATTAATTACATTATCATACTTTGATCAAATTAATTTGAGACTACTTTGAATATTTTCCCTGCTTGCAGTGTTTGTCTCTTGTCCTAAAAGCCATCAATGATGGATTCCTAACAGATTTACAAGCACCACACTCTTCTCACTTCCTCTATGTAATTATAAAGTAATAATTTAATGTTTTTTAATGTGCACTTCTCTGGCCTTAAATCAATTATTTCCTTGGGGCATTCCTTCTATCTACCACAACTGTGCTACATGGTATAGACCACTATTGGCGTCTGAATGGAAATTTCAAGATGAGAAAGACTCAGAACACTGTACTTTTGTTTTCCCAGTTTGGTTTCATCCCAAAATATTTTTAGCCATCAAAAACATGCTAGGTTTTTGATGCAAGCACTCGAAGTGGCCTGAAGTCTGAGAATGGTTGATCAAAACTTGTTTCTTTCCTGACAGAAAGGTTTGTTGTACTAGTATGAGCCATTTACCTAAATTTACATTTAGTAATTGTCACTGTTTATTCCCTGGTGAAGATAAAACATTCCTATTCATTTAAGGAGCTTTTGGACCTTCGTATTAAAGTGCCTCTGCAGAGAGACACATTGACAAAGAATTAAGAGCAATAAGAAAGAACTTTTAAAGCCAACACTTCCATAATCTCCCCAGAAACTCAGAACTAAGACTAATGGAAAACATACAGCATCCAGAAGCTGCAGGCAAGCACAGCCAGCCACTAACAACCTACCAAAATAATTGACTTTACAGCTCCCACTGCTTACCTCCTCCAAATGTAACTCCTTCATGTGAAATGCATGCAAAGCAGATGCTTTTATACAAGGAAAGGAGGTGCAAGAAGGAGCCAAGGTGTTATACAGAAATAAATGTTTATAGAATTGGTCTCTTTTCTGTTCTCCATTGCGATTTATTGTATATTAGAAAAATGAAAATGAGTTGTCTTTCATGGCATTATTTCTGTGTTTGAAAGGATGTACACTTACCTCAGTACACAGCTCAACTTTTCCTCTTATCTAAAAATTACATCTGGAATTACTGTGATTGAAAGTGATGGGATGAGCGTGGGTGGTGATGTTTGTTTTCAGTATAGTGCCTAAAAATGCTTTGTACAGTTTGCTGCTTTTGTGTCTCTTATACAGCAAAGGCAAAATACTATTTGAAAGTAGAAAAATTGAGCTGTATAGACAGAAAAAATGGGAGAGGAAGTTCCATGCAGGGATAATATCTCCAGCTACTTCTAATAACAAATATATGCAGCAGGAACTCATCTTTTCAAGGGCTAAATGGAAAGCACTCTAAAGCAATATGATGATTAGATAGAGTGATTAGAAGTAGTATTTGCCTATTTTGTCAAATTTTATATATTTTTATTCCTACAATTTGATTACAATTATTTGCAGACACTTGATTTCCCATTTTTATACTATCAATAAAATGTCTACTGCACCTCTTCAGTCTTTTCTTGAAGTATATCACAGAAAAAGAATGCAATCTTTACATATTTAAGCCCAGTAGCCAATTGAATGAAATGTCTATTATTTCCTAAGAAACTGAATGTTTGGAATTCTGTTGAACATTACTTGACTATTGTTCCAACTCTATGAAGGGAGAATAATGGTGCTATTATTATATCATGACATGATTTAAAAAGTAAAATGTTATTATGTCAACACTACTATCTTATAAATAATTCACGCACGTTTCTTATATGGGACATTCATCACTCTAGGCAGGCTAAGACCTACCTTAGAGTAGGTTAATCAAAATTGTTCATCTGGTTTCTTATCAGGCTTTTGCAGTAGAATTAATTACTACAAATTATTCCTTCTGCACTTTAAAGGCATGTATTACATGGCAAATGAGACAGTTTGAAACCTGGGGCCATCACTTCAGTGTTAAATTTCATTAAGTTTGTTTTCCAAATAAGTGTTTGCTTTGCTATGTTAATTAATTGCAATTAGTAATGTAAGAATATGTACTCTTTCAGCTCAGGATGTTTGATGCAAACAATGATGGAAAGTTGGAGCTTACTGAACTAGCCAGGTATGCCTCCTGTCTCTTTTCAGAACAAACATTATATACTAATTACAGTAAATACGTTGACCTTTGTTTTTTGTCTCCAAAGGCTACTCCCAGTACAGGAAAACTTTCTTATTAAATTTCAGGTAAGAATTCATTGTCTTATGGTTAAACTGTTAATATTACACATACTCAGTGTCATAAATGGATTTTTCTTTTCTTTTTGGTGTTTAGGGTGTCAAAATGTGTGCAAAAGAGTTCAATAAAGCCTTTGAGATGTATGATCAAGTAAGTCTTCAGAAAGCCTTTTTATTAATTGATTAGTTTAATGGCACTTGTTTTCTGAATTTGGGGAAAGCCTCTGAAAAGAAGAATAAATGCTTGATGTTCTCTTTAATGCTATTTTTCAGGATGGAAATGGATATATAGATGAAAATGAACTTGATGCACTACTGAAGGATCTCTGTGAAAAGAACAAAAAGGTAATCCCAGAGGGCTTTTTTCCCCTTAGAGATTAGATTTAATTTGGATTTTAAGGACACTTTAATCCACCCAATTAAGATAAATATAGAACTTCTAAGTCATAATTCCTGAAGTCAAGGCACAACTAAAAATCTTGGCAGAAGTCATAGCAGTGTAAAGCCTTAACTAAGGGAATTGTGATTACACAGCAACACTGTCAAAAGCTTGCTTATGAGGCATCAGCAGTCTAACATATGCCTATAACATAGATCATGTAAATATACAACACATTTTCAATGTGTTGTATAAAAAACTGTTAGAAAGGCTGAGAACATTTTTTTTTTTTCCCCTCCTTATTTTCTGCTGTTGGCAGCAAACTTGTTCATGCTGGTAACTAAACAGGATTATAAAGCATTATCTGTTCTTTAAATAGGAATTAGACATTAACAACCTTGCGACATACAAGAAAAGCATCATGGCCTTGTCTGATGGAGGAAAGCTTTACCGAGCAGAACTGGCTCTCATTCTCTGTGCTGAGGAAAATTAAAACCCTTCTCTCATGTCCACTTAACTAGTGATGTATTCTATCTACACGATAACTGTGCACTATAAGGGAGTAGGCTGTATTTTTAAACTGCATATAGAAAATTAGCCAGGATGTGTGGCACATTCCTTTAAGTTTGTTTCTATACTGTTTGTAATGTACAGTTTTTGTAACAATAAGATTGATAAAGAGAATGTCTATGTTTGGGCCAGTCTGTATATTCAAAAGAAACTAAAACATGTTGGGGTTGGATTTTTTTTTTTTGCTTTTTTTTTTTTTTTTTGCTTTCATGAACATGCCTGAAAAAAATTACACCTGCCGATGTTGTGGTTACCATATCCTTTGACACTTGCAACATTTTTCCTTGTTGATCTACCTAACAAAAGGTCTAGAAATCTCTCTTCCACTTACAACTACACGTTTGGGTTTTTTTGTTTGGGTTGTTGGTTTTTTTGTTGTTTTTGTTTGTTTGTTTGTTTTTAAAGTATGATACAAATTCAGAGGAAATATGATTTAGGTTGGAATAGGAAAAAGAAGTAGGCATGTCTACACTCCAAAAGTTACCAAGAAATATTTCCAGTTGTCAAACCACCCACTTACAGGTCTGTGCTCTCTGTAGTTTTTCAACTACTCTTCTCATTATGAACTCAGAGTAGATAGAGGAAGCATTTATCTGGGATAGATCTCCACGCAGTAGCTGACAAAAAATATACTGTTCTCAATCTTGCTGTTTAACTTTACCGAATTTAAACATAGGCAGTTCAGAAACAAATGCCTTTAATCTGTCTTGTAATCCTGGCTAAATGACAGATAGCATAGTTAATACACAGATTAACATATGATATTATAAGTTTACCTTTCACGACTATTGCTGTGTCAGAGAATATGACAATCCATTTTCTAAACTATTTTCACATTTTGCAGGTTATATTATTCTAGTAAATTGCTGTTTTTACATCATATTCTGTGTAATCTATGATTAAATTTAATATCCTAAGACTATTGTTGTCTAGTTTGTCTATCTCCTGGATGTTCTTTTCATGTAAAGGACAAAACAATTATTTTGAAAAGTTGTGCCTCCTTGGATCTTACACTGAGTTATTAATCTGTAATAATACTAATAAAAGTTAACACTAAAATAAACACAAGACCTAGTAAAGATTTTATAACAGTTTAGTAATTCAGTTTACCCGTGCTCTGCTTTTTATTAAGCTAGAGAGGTATTTTTTTAAATGTGAAATATAATATGGAACAAGCTCTTTCTTCTTCCTTTTTTTTTTTTTTTTTTTGGCCTGGCTCTTCTCTTTTACTTTACACCATCTTTGTACCAGCACCTCTATGAATATCCAGGCCATCGAACTCAGTATATACTGGTGTAGGAAGGAAACTGGGCTGTGTCTTAAAGTCATTAAATCTGTGTTGCTTCCATACACAGAAATCTGTTTCAGAAGCAGGTTAGAAGATTAGCTTTATATAACTTTTCAAATGCATCTCTTACTTAACAAGCAGAAGGAAATGCATTTTATTTGAAATGTATCTCAAGCAATGAGGCTCAGATCCTCCGAGATTATTTTGGCACTCAAATCCCACTGAAATTAATCCGTGACCTCAGGTGAACTCAGGCAGTTAAATGCCATTTCAGAAACAGCCTTAAGGCCCCAGGCTCCCTCAGCCTTGGCCTTAGCATGTTATGGAGTGCAGGATGGGGCCTTGCTAAAGAAAGGCACAAAAACTGAAGTGAGATTAATTCAGCTCATTCCCATGGCTTTATTCCCACTCCACACTTCTCACCTGCTTGTTTGCTCTATGCAATGTGAAATACAATTGTATATGTAAAGTGAAGGAATAGTGAATAGATTATCTGCCTATCAGTACAATAAATGATTGATATTGTTCATCTTGTGCAGTTAAAACCCTGGATTTTGCCTTATTTTAACATTTTAACAGTGTAAATGTTAAAAAAAAAATTGTATGCAAAATATGATGTAACATGACTGTTTGCTGAAATCACTACAGTGGAAGATAAGGTAAAGTGTTTTGACAAAAAGTCATCACAGAAACTGAGATATGCATTCCTGAGCATGAGCAAAATTACTTGTCAAAAGCTTGTTCTGAAGTCACGCTGCTCCTACCACTGCTGGCAATTTTCTCCCTCCATACAACAAAGCTACCTGCAGAGCAAATGTTTCTTTCAGTATGTTCTCATGAATAAAACTTGGATTAAAAGACAATGATTTAACAACACAATTCTAAAAAAGACGTCTATTCTATCAATGAACAGCTAAATTTATAGCAAATACAGCTAAGTCTGCTGTAAAATCTCCATGTTTTCAAATCTCTTCAATGCTCCTGGACAGAGCTCTCAGAACTTTCAGGGTTGGGGCGGAACAAGGGTTCGGTCAATAAGTGAGGTGACACTGAGGAAGACTGCAAGCTTCTTTCTTCTGGCAGGCATTCAGTAAAACAGATTTTCTAATCATTTTACATTAGAAGGCAGCAAAAGTTTCCTAATTCTCAAAGAAAACAAAAATCCAGTAACCATTTGGCCCTTTTAAAAACCTTTGACATTATAAATGCTGCATCTGCTAATGCAAACCTTAACAGTATCCAGACATCCCATTAGCACACCTCAGGGTGTCTCACCTGATTGCAAGTTATCAATCACTGAAGCTTTGATATAGCTCACTGCCTGTTATAGAGAAGAGCAAGAGAAGTTTCACTGATGATTTTATCAAGAGCAAACACAGGCTTTGAAGCAAGCGATTTAGCTTTCATTCTCCACTGCACATTTCTATCCTGAAAAAATCGCGTTCACAGTATCACTGCTGTAGTCTAATCACCATAGATCTCAAGTTAGGAAATCACACATCTTTGCAAAGAATGCCCTAGCAAGCTTCAGAAAGTTCTCAGAAGCATATTCTATACTGTGGACATGTCAAATAGACATCAGAGCCAGCAGCACTTTTACACAAAATGAACCTCATCTCATAAAATACCAATACACTGCTGCTAGAACTCTGCCTTCACTAGGATTGTTTATTCCATTAAACATTAGCTTTTTCTGATTAATTTCCACTTGTTATCTTGTGCATTCATATTAAGCCCTCACTGTATTCGTTAGGTGTAGTCACTGGTAGTTGAGGTGTAGCAAAATCCACACGTACTTGCAATGTCAACAAGAAGGTTCACAATCCATACATAGGCACCTAAATATATGTGGCCTGAATTTCTGTATTGCGGAGCATTCCCAAACCCCTCTGAAATTAACTGAAGTTCTTCTGCACCAATTAAAGGCAGGCAAAGCACTGAAATCCCAAAGATCATTTTATTTTAATGCACATTAAATTATCACAAGAAAGACTGGGATTTTTACCTAGGCTGGAGTGACATTCCAAATTTACTCACTACAACACAGAACTGCTCCATGGATAAAGTTAAAAATTTGTGCTTCACTGACTTTGTCATATGAATGTTATCAGCATGCAAAAAAAAAAAAAAAAAAAAAAAATCATATAATATTCTGAGTCAGAAGGGACCCACAAGGATTGTGGAGTCCCATTCTTGGCTCCCTGCAGAACCACCCAAAATTCAGACCCTGTGCCTGAGAGCGTTGTCCAAACGCTCCCTGCACTCCAGCACTCATGCCATGCCCACCGCCCTGTGGTGCAGCCCCTGTCCCTGACCCCCACCCGCCCCTCCCCTGACGCAGCTCCATGCCGTTCCCTCGGGCCCTGTCGCTGTCACACAGAGCAGAGCTCAGCGCTGCCCCTCCGCTCCCTGTGAGGAGCTGCAGCCGCCATCAGGCCTCCCCTCAGCTCCTCTGCTCTGGGCTGCACAAACGCAGGGACCTCAGTGCACCTCATACATCTTGCCCTCTTCGTATCTTTCCCTTAGATCCTCTCTAATAGCAGATCTGGACCTAAAACATGTAAAGATAAATAGGCAGCTCATGTCCCACTGAACTTGGAATCAGTATGGGCAGATAGGAACCTACAGCTCCAACAAATATCTGCTTCTGCTGTAAAGCAAAAACTGGGAAATAATATAAATGCTTTCGATACTAATTGAATTATTCAAGAGCAGAGAATTCCTGGACATAAGAGAACCAAAGAATGACAGCAGTTCTTGTATCATTGCAAAGAGGTAATACAGTTCTTTTCGTTAGTAACCTCAAATGACTTTTTTTGGAGAAGGCTCCAGAGAGACCTCACTGTGGCCTTCCAGTACTTGAAGGGAGCATATAAACAGGAGGTGGGACGACCGTTTATGTGGGTGGATAGTGATAGGACAGGGGAGGTTTAGGTTAGATATTAGGAGGAAGTTTTTCACTCAGAGGGTGGTGACGCACTGGAACAGGTTGCCCAAGGAGGCTGTGGATGCCCCATACCTGCAGGCATTCAAGGCCAGGCTGGATGTGGCTCTGGCAGCCTGGTCTGGTGGTTGGTGACCCTACACATAGCAGGAGGGTTGAAACTAGATGATCATTGTGGTCCTTTTCAACTCAGGCCATTCTATGATTCTATGATTTTCATAAACTGTTTATAAGCCTCTAATTTAGTGCCACTTTTAAAGGAATGAATTAATATAAGTAATTATATCAGGGGTTCTATGACAATAAGTCATCAACTGAAATAACAAGGGGAATTTTAAGATTTAATCAAGCAGCCAAGATGTACCTTTCTGTTGAAAACAGACAGTGTTTTGCTAGGGCATCTCTAAGCTCATGATAGTGGTAACATCTTTGACAGACATATCATGCAAATGTCACTTTAAAAAAGGTACTTTGATACCAGAAGTGTTTTACTTGTAATCCAGGAAAATTAAACTGACTCCGCAATCCCACTTACTCCTTCTGTGTCTCCATTGCTGTAAGAGATTATTCTTTTACATCATTGTCTCAAAGCTTGCTGGGGACACAGATGAATAAGTCCAAGCAAGCCCTGGGCAAGGGTTGAGAAATCCTTTGTCTTGAGAACATTGATGGACAAGTCCTGGGCAAGGGTTCTGAAATACTTTGTCTGAGGGACACAGATGGACAAGGCCAGGGGCAACAAGAGAGAGATAAGCTGCAGCTTAATAGCCATGAATCGGTCTCTTGTGTGGACTTATCTCAAGGAAGATGGCCATCTCAGGAGGTGCTGCACATGACTCTTG